TAAGTCACTGATTGCTGTCATTACTAGTATAAAATAAATAAATAAAAATTCCAATATATATATACCATAGTTTGTAGGCGATATAACTTTTCTGCAAACCAATCAGTATGCACTTATTGGGATTATTTTTAACTAAAATATGCAACAGAATATATATACTGTAGGCATAAATTTATGAAGAAATTACATTTTTTTTTAATTGGATATGTTTTATAGAAGAAAGTCAAAAATACAGTTTTTTTCAGCTTTTTTTTGTCAGCTTTTTTTTGTTTATAGTGCAAAATAAAGCTCTATTTATGGGAAAAAAATTACATAAAATTCATTTATGTACAGCATTGCATGACCGCGCAATTGTCAGTTAAATGTAGTACTGTATAGCAAAAAATTGACTGATCAGGAAGGGGTGTAAATCTTCCGGAGGTCAAGTGGTTATATTTACTAAAATAATTGCATTTCTATGTTCTGTGTACTATGGGAGACCAGATATAGTGAATGCAGGGTCCTGGGTTTGTAACACTTTAAGTTCTTCACTAAAATCTTTTTAGTTTTTACTTTATAAAGGGGATTATCAATTTTGCATTGCATACACCTTGGAGTGTATTTTTTTTTTAATTTACATAGCAATTTACCCAATGAAAGTGTGTGTACATTCATTCTGTGTGAAGGGACATACGCTATGAATGTTATTAGGCTATTTCCTGTGATGCTTGAATGTTTTTCATTGATTTAAAATTGACAATACCTATTTTGGTGTCCTAGGGTATTTCTTCCCAGATCTGGACCAGGGCATCACTGAGCTCCTGGACAGTCTGAGGTGCAACGTAGCGGCATTGTATGGACTGAAACATGATATCCCAGAGGTGTTCTATTGGATTTGGCTCAGGTGAGCATGGGGGCCATTCAATGGTATCAATTCCTTCATCCTCCAGGAACTTCCTGCATACTTTTGCCACATGAGGCCAGGCATTGTCGTGCACCAGGAGGAACCTAGGACCCACTGCACCAGCGTAGGGTTTGACAATGGGTCCAAGGATTTCATCCTGATACCTAATAACAGTCAGGATGCCATTGTCTAACCTGTAGAGGTCTGTGCGTCCTTCCATGGATATGCCTCCCCAGACCATCACTGACCCACCACCAAAAACGGTCATGCTGAACAATGTTACAGGCAGCATAACGTTCTCCAAGGCCTCTCCAGACCCTTTCATGTCTGTCACATGTGCACAGGGTGAACCTGCTCTCATCTGCGAAAAATACACGGCGCCAGTTGCGGACCTGCCAATTCTGGTGTTCGATGGCAAATGCCAATCGAGTTCTATGGTGCCGGGCACTGAGCATGGGGCCCACTAAAGGCCCCTCAGACCACCCTCATGAAATCTGTTTCTGATTGTTTGGTCAGAGACATTTTGTAAGGCTCTGGCAGTGCTCATCCTGTTTCTCTTTGCACAAAGGTGCAGATACCAGTCCTGCTGATGGGTTAAGGACCTTCTACGGCCCTGTCCAGCTCTCCTAGAGTAACTGCCGGTCTCCTGGAATCTCCTGCATGCTCTTGAGACTGTGCTGGGAGACACAGTAAACCTTCAGGCAATGGCTCTGGAAGTGCTCATCCTGTTCCTCCTTGCACAAAGGAGCAGATACAAGGACCTTCTACAGCCCTGTCCAGCTCTCCTAGAGTAAATGCCTTTATCCTGGAATCTCCTGCATGCTCTTGAGACTGTACTGGGAGACACAGCAAACCTTATGGCAATGGCATGTATTGATGTGCCATCCTGGAGGAGTTGCACTGCCTGTGCAACCTCTGTAGGATCCAGGTATCGCCTCATGCTTCCAGTAGTGACACTAACCCTAGCCAAATGCAAAACTAGTGAAAAACAGTCAGAAAAGATGAGTAAGGAAAAAATGTCAGAGGCCTCCACCTGTAAAACCATTCCTGTTTTGGGGATCGTCTCATTGTTGCCCATCTAGTGCACCTGTTAATTTCATTAACACCAAAGCAGCTGAAACTGATTAACAACCCCCTCTGCTACTTAACTGACCAGATCAATATCCCAGGAGTTTAATTGACTCTATGCTAAACTCTGATTAAAAAGTGTTCCTTTACTTTTTTTGAGCAGTGTAGTTGGGCAATATGCAGTCACAGGGGATATTTACATTCCCTGTGATAGCAATAAAAGTGATTAAAAAAAGAATGAAAGTGACAGTGCAAAAATAAAAAAAAAATCTAAATAATAAAAAAAGCACCCTCGCCTCCCTTGCACGTGCACAACTGCGTGAGCAAGCGTTGCCCCCCGTGCTGGTATGTAAACAGCTGTTGCACCATGCATGTGAGGTATCGCCGTGAACTCAAGATCTAGGGCAGTAATTCTAGCACTATAACTCCTGTGTAAATATAAAATGGTAGCCTGTAAAGGCTTTTAATGCGTTAACTATGAATATTAAAAATGTATGCAGTTTGTCGCCATTGCACTGGGCGTGCACAGTTTTAAAGCGTGTCATGTTTGGTATCTATTTACTTGGCATGCCATCATCTTGTATGTGTTATCAAGCAATTGGCCAATTTATTGTGTTTTTGTGCACTAAAAGTAAAACAAGTGTATTTTTTTTTTAAATTTGAGTTTGAAAAATCACTGTGCGAGTACTATGTGACATAAAAAATTGCAGTACCCACCATTTTAGTCACTAGGGTGTCTGCTTAAAAAATACATAATGTTTGGGGGTTAAAAGTAGTTTCCTAGCAAAAAATACTGATAATTTCATGTGAACAAAAAGTGTCAGAAAAGGCTTGGTCTTCAAGTGGTTAGAAGAGTGAGTGATGTGTTGCATAAACTTCTAATGCTGGGAACAAAATGCCCCCCCCCCCCCATGACCCCTTTTTGGAAAGTAGACACCCCAAACTATTTGCTGAGAGGCATGTTTTTTCTTTTCAAAACCTTGTGAGAAAAATGAGATCTGCAATATACTCATCATGCCTCTTTTTAAATTCCTAGGGGTGTCTACTTTCCAAAAAGGGGTGGTTTGGGGGGAGGGGGGTGCTATCCTGGCATTTAAGAGCTTCTGAAACTGTGATAGGTAGTGAGGAAGGGAAATGAGTAAGTTATGTTCCTCCAGGCTTTCAAAGTGGTCATTGGATTTTGGGCTCCTGTATGTTGGTAGGCTCCCAAAAAGTCTCACACGTGTGGTATCCATACTCGGGAGAAGTAGCAGAATGTATTTTGGGGTGTAATTCCACATATACACATGGCATGTGTGAGCAATATATTATTTAAGTGACAACTTTGTGTAAAAAAAAATAAAACATCTTTTGTCATTTTCCAAAAACTTGTGGAAAAAAAATCTTCCATGGACTCAACATGCCTCTCAGCAGATAGCTTTGGGTGTCTACTTTCTGAAAAGGGGTCATTTGGCTCTGTTTGTACTGCCCTGGTATTTTAGTACTTCAAGAAATGTGACAGTCAGTCAGAAAGTAAAAGTTGTGTAAATTTCAATATCTATACCACCATTTGTAGACACTATAACTTTCACACAAACCAATCAGGGGCGGACTGACCATTTGGAAACTCGGGCACTGCCTGAGGGCCCAGGGTAAGTAGAGGGCCCCATGAGATGCCCCTGGTACCTTTTTCATAGACTTTTTTGAGTTTGGGCAAGGACACAGGGGCCCCATGATCTCCTATTGCCCGGGGGCCCCATGAGTTGTCAGTCCGCCCCTGAAACCAATTAATATGCAGTTATTGGGATTTTTTTTAACCAAAGACATGTAGCAAAATCATTTTGGCCTAAATTTATGATGACATTTGAGTTTATTGGATATTTTTTATGACAGAAATTAGAAAATATAATTTTTTTTTCACAATTAGGGGTCTTTTTTTGTTTATAGTGCAAAAAAACCCTCAGAGCTAATCAAATACCACCAAAAGAAAGCTCTATTTGTGTGAATAAAAGGTCATAAATTTAATTTATGTACAGTATTGCATGACCGCACAATTGTCAGTTAAACTAGTGCAGCGCTGTATAGCATAAAATGGTGTAAATTCCAATATTTATACCGTCAATTGTAGATGCTAGAACTTTCACACAAACCAATTAACATGCAGTTATTGGGATTTTTTTTACCAAAGACATAAAGCAAAATACATTTTGGCCAAAATGTATGACTAACTTTGAGTTTACTATATATTTTTTATAGCCAAAAGTTTATAGCACAAAAATAAAAAACCTAGCAGGTGCCCACTAGTAATTTTCTTTGAAATGAGTACAAATGAATTAGTTGTGTGGTTATAATTTATTTCAGATTCATTGAAATCATTACTATTGTGATTCAGAAATTCATCCAATTATGTCTAACATAATTCCTTTCTCACTTTTTTGTGGTCATCACAAGAGTAAAATAAAACATTTTAGGTAGGTAAATTTAAAATATTGCACTTTAAAATTTTTCATTCTCCTTTTGAGCCAAAACTTACACACAGACATGCACACACACATACACACATACTGTACATACACACACACACAAACAAACACAGTAAAGGACTCAGTAGTAGTGATGAGATGAACTTTCCTAGGTTGAGTTCAAGCAGGGTTTAGCCAACTTCACAGTTCAAATGCTGAACCCAAACTCCGTGGAAATCAACAGGAGCCAAATCTGTCAATTTTTTGGACTTATAGGCAAGGGGGTATAAAAAAAAATAGCATGGGTTTTGGCCAGAGTCACGGGGGAGAAAATGAATGTTTTACCAAAATTACTTTATTTATTCCTAGCACTCCCAGTCTGGGTCTATAAAGCATATCTGGCAAAATAAACATCCACGTTTTACTTCATCTGTCCTATACCGTTGTTTACAACATAGAATGTGCTCATCAGAGTGTCCCTTAACATAACATGTGCCCATCAGGGTGCCCCTTAATATAAATGTGCCCATCAGCATGTCCCTAATTTTATGTTAACAGGCACTCTGATGAGCACGTTTTATGTTAAGGGGCACTCTGACGGGCACATTTAATATTAAGGTGCACTCTGATGGGCACAACAAAGAATGTGCCCATCAACGTGTCCCTTAACATAAAATGTATCCATCAGAGTGCCCCTTATTTCATATAAACGTGCTCATCAGAGTGCCCATTATTATAAATGTGTCCATCAGAGTGCCCCTTGGTATAAAATGTGTCCATCAGCATGCCCCTTATTTCATGTTAAGGGGCACTCTGATGAGCACATTTTATGTTAAGGGCACTCTAATGGGCACATTTTATGTTAGGGGGCACTCTGACGGGCCCATTTAATGTTAAGGGTTCACAAATGGGCACATACTGTGGAAAGGGGCACTCGGATGGGCACATGTGATGTAAAGGGGCACTCTGATGGGGAATATTATGTAAAGGGGCACTCTGATAGGCAAATATGATGTAAAGGGGTATTTTGAGTGTAAGAGGGCACTCTGATGGGAATACCTGATGTAAGGTGGCAATGTGATGAGGATACCTGATGTAAAGGGGCACTCTGATGGAGACAACTGATGTGATGGGAATACATGATGTAATGTTGCACTCTGATGGTGACACCTAATGTAAGGGGGCACACTGATGGGCACACCCTATTCGGACCTTTGCCAGAAGAGAAATATTAGTGACCAGACCTAATTTTAATTCAATATCCCTGATATAAAAGAACATCTGGGCAGCAGTGACCATAACATTATTTCATTTAATGTTAGCTGTAAACAACAAACACATAGTGGAAAGATAAAAACACCTAATTTTAAGAGACTGAATTTTTCAAAGATTAAGGCTGCTGCTCAATATTTAAACTGGGGAAGGGAATGTTGTCATTAGAGAACCTAGAACAGAAATAGGAATGCTTCTTGTAAAATATCTTTATTGTTTTAGAAATGGCAATACTTTGAATTGACTGTATGTAAACATGCTGCAATATATATTCCTGTGAGCAATAAATTAAACAGGTTAAAAATAAAACCTATGTGGTTCACGTCCAAAGTTAAAATAGCTATAAATAATAAGAAAAATGCATTTAAAAATATATTCATGAAGCTATCAATATTTAGAAGTTGCAAAGAATATAGCAGAATATGTAAAAAGGAAATCAAGACAGCAAAAAATTCAAAATGAATGACAGGTTGCAAAGGAGAGTAGGACAAACCCCCAAAAATTCTTCAAGTATATTTATAGTATAAAAAGATCTGAGCATGTAGGGCCTTTAAAAGATCATTTTGAGTTGGTGACTGGCGACAAAAATAAGACAAATTTAATAATATCTTCTTCAGCTCTGTGTATTCAAAGAAAATGGGGGACCTCAAGTCCCCAATGGGGATAATATGAGGAGGTAAGCTGTGGATATACCATAATGGGATTTTGCAAAAGCGTTTGAGACAGTTCCCCACACATGGCTAATGAATAGAAAACTGGCTTTAAGACCGTATTCAGAGAGTAGTAAGTAATGATTCATACTCTGAATGGTCTAAGGTTATTAGTGGTGTACCCCAAGGTTCAGTGTTGGAGCCCTTACTTTTTAACCCATTTATAAATGATTTAGCGTTTGGAATTAAAAGCACCATTTTAGTGTTTGCAGATGACACCAAGCTTTGCAGTGGAGTAATGTCCTTACAGGATGTTAGGCCCCTGTACAAATCAAAAATAATACCTCATCTAGAATATTCAGTTAATTTTTGGGCTCCAGCTCACAAACAGAATATCAGAGAACTAGAGAAATTATAGAGAAGGCTAAGAAAAATAATAAGAGGCATGTAAGAGCTCAGTTATGAGGAAAGATTATCTGAACTGAATTTATTCTCTCTTGTTGAGTTGATATCATTTTCAGGTAATTACAGAGGACAGGGGGGCACTCTTCTGAAGGAAAAGAAATTTAACCTTCTCATACAGAAAGGCTTCTTCACAGTAAGACTCCTTCAAAAAGTAGTTCTGGCAAGCTCAGTAGATTGTTTTAAAAAGAGCTGGATGCATTCCTAAATGCACAAAATTTAACTGGATACTAACACCAAGAGTAGTTCAGGGAATTTACAATTGCCACCTAGGGGTCAGGAAGGATTTTTGTCTTCCACTGTAGCATGCTGTATTGGGGTTTTGCCTTCCCTTGGATCATCTGTGAGTACAGGATATTGTATATGTTGGTTTTCTTTTTTTTCTATTGGTTGAACTAGACTGACTTGTGCTTTTTCAACCTGACTAACTATTAAACTATATTTAAATATTGCATGGCTCCTGCTAAACAAGACACCGAACAGACTAAAGTTCAAGGGTTTGCCAGAAAGCCCAAACAATCAAAGTTTGGTCCAAACCTAGGTTTGGATCAAACCATCAGCTCATCCTTACTCACTATTCCAATGAGCTTTGGGTTTTGGCTGGAAGTGAGTTTGACTTGAACCAGAGGTGTCCCTAGGGTTGGTGTCACCCGATGCGGTAACACTTGGTGACACCCCCTCCGTCGATCCCCGCAGAATGGATCAGATCTGCAAATTGAGCATAATGGATTGGACTCCGATCCCTTATGCTCAATCCGCAGATCCGATCCATCCTGCGGGTATCGTCGGCTTTCTTTACAACTTAACTTTTCTTGGAGCGGGTCCTGTATCACCCCGTATAGGTTGCATGCCGACGATCCCCGCAGGATGGATCCTGCGGGGATCGTCGGCATGCTTTACAAGTTACCTTTTTGTGGAGCAGGTCCGGTGCCACCCCGTGTGGTCGGTGTCACCCAGAGCGAACCACACCCACCGCACCTGCCTCGGGACGCCATTGACTTGAACCCTAGCTTGTTTGAGGCAAACTAAATGGCCAGATAGTTTTGCAGGCAGGCATCCTGGCTGACCATATTTAGTCAGTGATGTAACCCAAGAACTCAGACTGGTTTGTTGACATTCAGCTGTTGGCCAGTGAGCATTTATTTGCAATGGTAAATTAAATAAAGGATTTTTTTCAAAAGTGTGTATTTAAAGACTAAGTTCACATTTAAACAAAAAAAAAGCTAATTTTTTTGCAGATAAAATAATTGCATTTAGGGGGCGTGACCTGGCTACAGGAGAAGATGGCTGCTTTATCCCTCACCTCCACTCCTCCGCAATACAATCCAGCACCATGCAGCCTGTCAGCAGCTGCATCTTCTCCTCCAGCTATGAGGGATCTAATCCAAGCAGCCCCTGAACTACGTCCTGCAGCTCAAGGGATCATGCTGGCTACTCGATTTCTACATGCGCCCTGCTCAGCCTTCAGCCCATCATGGTGCTGACGGGAGCAGGGAGACCCAGAAACACCGCATGAACAGCCTGCGCTAGCTGAACATGGCGGACCCAGCTGCCCATGTGAGTTTGGCAGCTCCTCTTCCAAATGAGTGAGATAAGAGGGTAGCTAATTCCCCTACACACTCCCCTGCATAACCGCCCTCTAAGAAGAAGCAATCTGGGACTTTTAGTCCCACAACCATTCTCTCCCTGCATAGGCTCTGGCTACATATCCTACATGAGACAACCCTGCATCTGAGCATTCCCTTAAGGCCATGTTGCTGTTTCTGCAAGCTGACCTCCATAGAGACCTTAGAGCTTCTACATGATCAGCTTGAATGCTTGGAAGAATGCACTGACCATATATAGGGCAACACCTCTGTGATGCTATCAAAGCTCACAGTACCATGGTGGACATACAAGATGAACAAGCAGCAACTTTACAACTGTTCCACTTGAAGGTGGCAGATTAAGAGGACCGCTCTGTGTGGAACAATATTAAAGTAAGGGGGGTACCTGAATTCCTTACCACTGCAGAACTTGTGCAATATATGCATCAGCTATTCCACAAGTTGATCCCCTCACTCACCAAAAATGATATGCTCATTGATCGGGCTTATAAAAGCCACAAGCCACAACACCATTTGCCAAAATCTCACTCTTTAATGACATCTCGGCTGCAAATTCACAGGCCCGCAAAGCCTTCTATCCAGTTCAGGGGCGGACTGACAACTCATGGGGCAATAGGGGATTATGGGGCCCCTGTGTCCTTGCCCAAACTCAAAAAAGCCTATGAAAAAGGTACCAGGGGCATCTCATGGGGCCCACTTCTGACCCCAGGCCCTCGGGCAGTGCCCGAGTTTCCAAATGGTCAGTCCGCCCCTGATCCAGTTACATCTGTTCTCACTGATCACAAGATCACCTGCCGCTGGGGCTACTCTACAAATCTTCTGGTCACCCATCAGAACCAACAAGTATCTATACTAAAGATGGGATCAAGAAGCTGCATAACTGGGGTGTTATCTCATGTATCCCCCCAGCTATTCCGAAACCTAATCCCTCATCCAAAATCTCTAATCCTTGGGAATCATAAGCACCAATATAACTTTCAGCATGCCCTCCTACTCATTATACCCCTTTCTAGGGGTGGACATGTATGGCTGGACTTAATTGGAGTGGAGGAGTAGATGCCATGTTGGTAGCCTGTCCGCGCACCATTATTACAGTGTGCTAAGCACACTTCCTATTTTGGTTAACCTCCTCGATCTACTTTTTTTCTGTATAATGGTTTATGTTTGATATTGCATAGCTCCTGCATTTTGGTGCGGAGACAGGAATCCCTGCACCAACTGTTTTTTTTAAGTTATGGTGGTTCATATGTTTTACTAAGAAATGTGTTACTCTCTGTGCACCCACAGTGCGAGTAGTGGAATGTCTCTTCTCAGTTCTACCACAGTATCGCCTCCAGCAATCTTTCATGTTCCTCAAAATTATTTCTTTGAATGCTAAGGCCCTTAACAGCCATTTAAGTGGTCGCTATTATGGCTAGATGCTATCTCTCAGAAAGCAGATATTATATGCATCCAAGAAATTAACTTCTCTGAAACTAAGTTATCCCAATGCTCTCACAAATTATTCCCCCATTGCTTTCATTCATGAGCTGACAAGAAAGCAAGAGGGTTCATGATTGCAATCCGTTCCTCAGTATCCTTTGCTCTCTCACAGATTGAGTGAGACCCCTTAGGCAGATTCTTGATACTATTGGCCTCCTTCAATAATTACCCTCTCATTATTGTTAATGTTTACGCCCCTAAAGTACGGCAGAAAACTTTTTACAAATCCATTTTACAGAAAATACAGCAGTATCCCAGAGATGGGATTGCCATCAATACTATGACACTATCAATAACTTCCTTGATCGTAACAAAGTCCTAGAAACCATTAACAAAGAAAATCTGTCAGAAGCTATCATCAGTGAGCTTCGCAAAGTAAGAAATGAGTTTAGCTCATATTTACAAAAAGGCTAAAATTTCTTTCTCAGGCGCCTTTGTCTCACATGGTACCCCCAGGGGAATAATGCTGGTAAAACATTAGCCCTACAATACAAAAGAGAAGTAGCACAAACCAAAATCGCATTTCTCCAAGATGCCCAAGGTCACAATCTAACAAATCCAAAGGACATAGCTGTCTCCTTTAGCTCCTTTTAAGCAAAATTATATAATCTGCAGCTCTCCCCCATTGAAACCCAACCTTTTCTGTCATTGCAACTCCTCTCTCCAAA